ACACAGAAGAAAATCCTGATGGAGACTGTATTTATTCAAGAGAGATTCATGCTGTGGGAATGCTGAACAAATGCAATCAGACTGCAAAAATTTGGGAAAGAAAAAGGCAAGGTAGTCAGCAGAACTGTTGCTCTCAGCAAAACCTGCATTTAATCTCTCTTTCTGCCTCTGAAAGGAAATCATGTGAAATGCTCTGCTTTTATTTGATAAACCTGTGACTTGACTTGCCTGAAGAAGAGTGAAGCTTTACGCTTCTGTTCCCACTGACAGTGCTGTGGGCAGCCTGCTGTGAGCCCAGCCGACCTTCCCCTGGCTGGCTTGCTGTGTCTCAGATTATACTATCACACGGATGTCTCATGCAGTCAGCTCCCCTCTGCTTACGGTGCTCCTTAGGCCAGTGAACCGAGCTGGAATGATCTGGAGCCTTACTCTGACCTCAGGCTAATGAGAATTGGGAATAACAAAACATTGCTGAGGCCCGTAAAGGTACAGGGCTCCGAGAGGATACACAGGCCTCTGCGATGTCCATACGGTTGCATCTGAGGGAGACCGGTCATGTGGATAGCATGTGCTGGTATTAAATCACCTCTCAGGTTTGAAAACATATTAAGTCAGTAAAGAAAATAGACAAATAAAGGCAGACAGAAGAGAAACTTGCTCCCCTGCAGAACGCATGATAAATCATTTATTACAGTGGGAAAGAGGCTTTCAGACAGAAATGGCAGCTTGACTTTACTTACCTCTGCAGAAAACAAGCACCTCGGGGAAACCTGCATCCACAGAACCACAGCTGTAAAGATGGTGGGGCTTCCATCTGGCTCCCTAAGCTTCTTTACACCATCAAAAGGTGATGTTAAATATTCGTGTATTTATCTTGCCACATCAGCAAGGGACATGGGTGCATTCAGTGTCCTAACGCACATGAACAATTTGGTTTTCCTCTGAGAGAAGGGCTTTTTTGCTTTAACTGAGTCACATCAGCAGAAACATCACATCACATCACAGAGGAAATGAGTTTGAAATACCCTTGGCAGGTAGGCGGTTTGACAAAGTCGCAAAGAAGAACGCCACTATCCAGGAGACAAGCCATCATGGGCACAGGGGAAGCAGCAGGCTAGGTCTCTTTCAGGCCGACTTGGATTCAACTGTCTGGTGACAGATTTAGCTGCCTTCATGTGGCTGCTTGAAAGGACAGATTCCCATGGCCAAATTGTTTTGGACTGAAGTTATTTGACAGCCTTGACCCAGCTCCCAAACCAAGTTAAAATGACACATCCAACTTTATTTGGCATTTGAACTGGGAAGGAAACGACTTTTCTGTTCTGCCAGAGGCCTCTTTTATTTAATGGCCTGTAAAGAGGAACAAGCTGCATATAATAATGACATCTTGTGGTAGTTGTTGAATTATTGCCCTACGATTTAGTAAATAATTGGATACCAAATTTCATGACATCTTTCTCCCTCCATGCTGCAGCTCTACAAGTTCACACGATTTCTGCTGCTCTGAGAAGCTGGATGTGGAAGACTTCTAGAACCTTTGGCTTACTGCTGACTTCAGAGGAAAAGGATATTTTGCTCAGGTCTGGCTTAACATACAGGTCAGAAATTCAGTCATAACTGATTAAAGAATGGTTATCCAGATATTCATACAGAAAATATTAGAGCTTTGATAATTATTGAGAGCAGAGTGGCTCGGGCAGAACGAGTGTGCCTTTGCTGAACTGTGACTTTGTGCTGGGTGTGAGAGCAAATGGAGAGAGCCTTTGCTGGCGGCTTATAAAGCCCAACAGCTGCTGCACCTGCACTGAGCTCACCACCAGTCTTGGTGAGCAGCCACCACTACCCTGCGGCTGAGGGCACAGAGATGGGGGGTGTTATAAAGAGTAAATCCCCGAGACCTCATGGCACCCCTGCTTCACTTTTACTTATTCCATCTCTGCTGATTGGGTGTCTAACTCCTGCCATCAACTGTGTGGGTATCCAAGGATCCCATGAAGGTCTAAGCTTAGTGAAAGCTGTGTGACAGTTCATATTAGCATCCATAATCGGGACATTTTGCTGAGAATCCTATTCTGCCTGCCCATAATCATGTTCTTGCTGATGCACTCTGCAGTGCTTGCTCTAGTCTAATTTAGACGCTTCTCAGAACAAACAGCACACTTTCCTGCTAATTGGTACAGTCCTTATCAGCACAGAGGGGCAGAGGGGCTCAGCTTTTATCAGGGAGTTTGGATATTGACTAAATAGTCATAGTAAGTAAGATTAGCAGGAACAGCTTAGGGATATATTTCTACAGAGGTGTCTGTTTTTCCTGTGACATGTTTGGTGGCTATCTTTGGGGCTCACTGGGTCTTCAGTTCTGTTCCACTCTGACACAGCTGATTTCTCAGGGGTTTTTTGTTTTGTTTTGTTGGGTTTTTTTGGATGAAGGTGACTTAAGCTACATGCCAAACATCTTTGTTTTTTCTTCTGGGCTACGAAGGCCTCATAAATAGATTTATAGCCTACATGCAATATTTATATACAGCTCTGCTTCCCAGCTGTGAGGAAGGAAGCAGGAAAAGACCTTACCACTTACGAAGAGCTCAGAGGTGATGGTGAAATTGTACATGTGTAAGACAATGAAAGAACGCTGCTGATCAACTGATAGTACAGAATGTGGAGTGACAAGTCAATGCTACTGGTCTCTGCATTTTGTGTAGCGAGGCCCCTTTCACTGTCAGGGATCCTGGTGTTCACACCGGATATTGGGCATAATATGCTCTGTCTGCTTCCCTCAGGTTTGCACAAGTGCAAGCAGAAGACACTTGCTGGATTCCCTGCTGATACAGAAAATAGATTAAGATAACCATGAGATTCCACAATTCCATAACATGACAGGTTTTTAGCGGCATTGATCTATTTTATTTTTTCCTCCTGGGATAATGCCACCTATTGGACACTATTAAAAGAGTCGAAATAGTTCAAAGAAAAAAAAATTATACTTTTTTTTTTTTTTTTCTGGTAAAGAAGGCTAAACTTTAGACTATTTCCTACAGTTCAATAGCCAGAAAAAGAGCTTCTATTGGGACATTCTGAATTATGGTATCTAATTAGAAAAGGAGAGGCAGAAAAAGCACTGGCAACACTGATGATTTCTGGCAAAGAAAATGAAGTTCAGAACAAAAAATATAGGTAAGGTTTAACATGATAGTTTATATCCAAAGGGACTATAAATAAGTTTTGGCATTGGGGGGGTTTTGTTTGTTTGTTTTGGTTTTATTCTGGGTTTTTTTTACTGAAGTGTGTTGAGGGTGATTATCTTTAATTGACCTTGAACTTGTGGTGGTAAAATTATTAATATTTAAGATCAAGAGTTCTGGCTAAGAAGTCATCTTTACTAAAAAAACATTCCTTTCGACTAAAACCTAACAGCCTGTGATTGTTTCCAACTTCCCACTTCTGAGCTAAGATAACATGGGGTGTGCCACTCACACAGGCTCTACCAAGAGCCATCTCTTCATACTGTCATGTTATTTACTGTTTGATTCCTTACAACTGTGGCAGTTAGCAAGCTACCTAAGGAGTCCGTGCCTCCAGGGATGGATACCTGGCTTTGTTAACATTTAAATGGTTGCTTTTCCTCACCTCCTTCTTTCTTTTTTTCTGAAATGGTATATAGGTTGGGTCTACTGCAATCAGTTGGCTGAGAACAGGGGAGCAGAGGGGAAGGTGCTCTCTGAATGTTCTCTTACTATGACCACAGTTAATGAAGCTCCTGTCTGGCCTGTCCTAAACTGTATTTGTGTTATTAAGTGCTTGGAGTCCTCAGATTCTCCAACAAACTGTTCTTAAAAATACAAACAAAAACTTTTAAAAAAATCTGTTTACTTAATAGATGTACCTTGAGGTACTCTGAGAAATCTTTTTAACACTGGCCTTTTGATACGTTCTCCAGCCGTGAAATGTTCCCTGAGCTCTGTCAGATTTAGATGGAACCAGAGACGCCTCTGCAGAACTACTTGGTCACATTGTGGCAGTCTGTAAAGCCTTAATTGAGACGGCAACAACAGATGGAATTATAAAACCCCACTAGGACAAGGGTCTGATTCTGCTCAAGTAGAATTCAACACTCAAGTACTGAAATTGCATTTATTTAATAGCCCAAACCATAATTCATCACTGATTAGCCATAAATAATACTATTTTTTTTTTAACTTATAATCTCTTTGGCTTGATAGGATTGCTCACAATAGTCAGGGCAACAGGAATTAGGTTTTAACAGTACTTCAGTTTACAGATGATTCAAGAAAAAAAATGAAATTGGTTTTCACAGCATGTCTAAACCATAAAATATTCTGAATTTTCAAAGCTTTGTTAGTGTCTCTTCCATTTGTGAATAAAAATATTTGATAGTTAATATAACTGAAAGAGAAATATGCTAATATGTTAAATAACGGTGAACACGGTCGTATGTTCTTATAAGGCCATATTTATAATAATTCTTTTGAGTGCATTCTAACCCGAAACATAAATGCATTTTCTATGTGTGCCAGTGTATCCCAAGCTTGATACTGGTTTTGCAGTTCTGAAAATGTTATAACCAACCAAGAATGTATAAAAGACTTACAAGTTTGCATTACCATGTATTTTTTTTTAAAAAGATGTATAAACGAGTTTTTTTCAATTAATTTTATCTACAGAGTTATACACAATTCAAAGACAGATTATCTAAAATCCCAATCCTCTCCTGAATTGAAAGAGCAATCAAGTAGTTTAACACAAAGGCATATGAAGTAAATCTGAACAGCTTCACAGACTTCAAAGGGGCTGTCGGAAATTATTCCCATCCTTTAATACAGATTTATCACTTTTGGTGTTCTTGATGTCTTTTTTCTTCAAATTCTCTTTTATTTTGCTTTTGTTCAATTTATTCATAACCCCTGGTGGGAAATGCTTTTTAATTATTTAACTTCTGTAATATGACAGTAAAGTCAAGAGACTAACTGGAACATTTATAGAAACTTTGCAAAACAGTGATCATAATGAATCTTTTTTTTTTATTATTTAATTGAGTAAATACGAAGTGTGCAGATGTGTTGCTCTTGCTCCTGCAATTATTATAACAGTCCCTGAGACCAAGTTGGACTTGATTTCAAAGTTATTTTAAAACTTGGCACTTCTCTATGTAAATCTCTTTCATTTTCAGTGTTTGACATATGGTCTCATTTCCTCTTGATGTTTGTAATACAGTATCCATCTCAGGCCCATCCAGCCTCTTCCAAGTTGTTTGGTTTACAATCGTGACCTCAGCCTGCCTATAACAGGTTTATTAATACAAAATTCTGCCCACCACGAAGGTCTGTTCAGTGCTTTGCTGCCTTGAAGGACCTCTGTCCACATATTTTTATATAACTGCAAAATAATAAGAAAAAAGGATTAATTCATACAGAAAATAAAACAAAGAAAACTTCTACAAGACAAATTATCTAACTTATTGGTTGAAATGAGATTGTGATTGAATTTCTAGATGACAAATGTGAATAATTATGTACAGGAAAGAATAAACACAAAGATAAATCACAAAATTTCAAAGTACTGTAAACACCAGATATCTGTGTAAATCATTTAGACCACCCTTGGCATAAAAGCAGGAAACGAGGAACCTTTGTAATTTCTTGTTTTCAACTTGACATGAGTTGCATTATCAAAAGCAGAAATTTGGAAACAAGGTTATACTAAGCTGATCTTTGTTCTGTCCAAACCTGAACACTGTCTGAAAGCACTTATGCATGTCTCTTTTTACGTGTATCTCAACACGTTTCTGGAAAGTAACACATCTTCTCTCCCAGATGTGAACTGTTTGATCTGAGCATAAGGAATTCTTCTCTCATAAGCAGGTTGTTAATTCATCATCTTCATCAATTTGGATTGTTATGTGGAAAGGTTAAAAAAAAAAAAAACTACATGGGAAGTAAATTTTGCAAAAGTATAATTTTAGCAGTATTTGGCACTTTATAATTAACTGAAGCTTAAAACTTTAAATAACGTTATAGAACGATGAGGAAAGGAAGGCCATATTTTTAGCAGTAAGTTGGAGTACAGTATAGTGAGATATTAATGTAGTATAAAATTAGTCAATGTAAAGTGAAAAACCTTTCTTCTACATCAAAAGATGGCTTGGCCTTATATATTTGTGATTATTTAAAAAATATTGAAATGTAATATATTAATATTAAATATATTTTAACCTTGATTACGTGGGCTAGTGTTAACTACTTATTCTATTCCAAGTTTGATTTAATATTGTCTAACATTTTTAAATTATTCTTGAAATAAATGTGGCAAAAACTTCTCATACTTAAACTGAGATTATCAAATCTCAGATTCTATGGGCAAATGATGTCCACACCATCAAAGTTTCTTTCAAAGAGAATCTGAATTCTTATTCAGTGCTTAATTGTTATGGGCAGCTGCCCATTAAAGATTTGGAAACTTCTTCTGCTCCCAGTTATGA